GAATGCCCCAGTCTTACCTTGTCCCGGATCTTTAAACTGTCCAAAGGAATTTCAATAGCCTGTTAAGTGAATACCTTCATTCTACTCATATTTAGGGAAATTTTTTTTTTTTTTTTTTTTGAGACGGAGTCTCGCTCTGTCGTCCGGGCTTGGAGTGCAGTGCCGGGATCTCAGCTCACTGCAAGCTCCGCCTCCCGGGTTTACCGCATTCTCCGGGCCTCAGCCTCCCAAGTAGGCGGGATTACAGGCACCCGCCAACTCACCCGCTAGTTTTTTGTATTTTTTTAGTTAGGAGACGGGTTTCCACCGTTTTAGGCCAGATGGGTCTCGATTTCTCCTTGGACCTGTGATTCCACCCGTCTCGGCCTCCCAAAGTGCTGGGATTACAGGCTTGAGCCCCCGCGCCCGGCCAATTTAGGTGAAATATTATGAAATACCACTTTTGGTATTTTATCAAAAATGTTTTCTTTTCAGAAGTTATGGTAATTTCAATGTGTTTATTGTTGGGAGGGGAGCTGCCAAATCAGTTATTCGTATTACTGTGTGACATCTATCCAACTTTTTTCATTCTTCATTGCCAAATGCTGAAAGACTTGTAAACAGCTTTGGCAATATGTTTGAATTCTAAGAGGAAATATTTTCGCATAATTCTGTATCAGAGAAATATAGTGATATATAATTTCCTTGAAAACAAATTTCTAAATAATTTTCTTCTCTGTAATCTAAGTGTAAAAAGTTTTTCAATAGGTTTAGGTGTTTATGAACAATAGTTCTCTATTTTCTAGTGGGTATAAGCAGAGGAATTGACAAGTGAGATGGAAATGTTAATTTATAAAGGGAAAGTAAAGCTAGGTGAGGTTGAGTTATAATTAAACTGTTCAGGAAACATCGTAAAGGCTTTAGGCTCCCTTTTTCATTTCTACACCAATTAATCTCATGGGTTCTAGAGTGGTTAGTTCTATGGGAATTGTTTTTGTTTTTAAAGATGCTGAAAACTACTCTCAATCAAATTAGTACTATCATTTAAGCTTTGAATACTTGGCGATAATTGCCTGGCCTCTTCAATAAATGTTAGCAAATTCTTGATGTTCCTCACTTTTGTGGTTTCTTTTGCCATAGTAGCTTCATAAACAGTGCTATTTATATTCACTTACACTTAATAGAGTTGTATCTGGAGGCAATGCAGGAAGAAAGTAGAATGATTAGGGACTTTTTTTTTTGGTGATAAGCTTTCTAATGGAGTAATTGTTTAAATCTACACAGCACATAAAAGAAAATTGTCCCCCTTGGGACCTTCTTACACTGTAATCTGTAGTGAAAGGTACTTCTCCCACAGACTTGCCTACAGCTGGCTTCAGTAATTATGTGTGTATTACTTGCTTCCTTCAGGATAAGCCTCTTCTGTAAGTTTGGCCTTTATATATCTCTTAAGCCTGAATTCCACTTTTTATTCTTTTTTTTTTTTTTTTTTTTTTAACATACCCAGCCTTTTGTTAACTTAACTTTTTAAGTAAGGAGCAGACAATTCTCATTTTCGGTTGTCAGAGACTTAGGTCAGACTAGGAGATGACCACAAAATGATTAGGAATTAATCGAATCTGAGTTGCTTAAGTCCTATTTTAGTATTCTGGCCTTTTTTTTTTTTTTTTTTTTTTTTTTGAGACTGAGTCTCGCTCTGTTGCCCGGCTGGAGTGCAGTGGCCGGATCTCCAGCTCACTGCAAGCTCGCCCCCCCCCCCCGGGTTTACGCCATTCTCCTGCCTCAGCCTCCCCGGAGTAGCTGGACTACAGCGCGCCCGACCTTCGCCAGGCTAGTTTTTTTAGCGTATTTTTTAGTGGAGACGCGGGTTTCACAGTGTGATCGCAGGATGGTTCTCGATCTCTGACCTCGTTGATTCCGCCCGTCTCGGCCTCCCAAAGTGCTGGGATTACAGGCTTGAGCCACCGCGCCCGGCCTATTCTGGCCTTTTGAAAAGCTTCCTTTTCACCAAGAAGATTTTAGAAAGGGAGTTCTCTAGGAAAGCAGGGATCCTTAGGGCTGTGGATACAAGGATTTAAATCCTTTCAGCCAATGTACAGTAAATGGGGTAGAGTTGGGGAGAAGACACACATGCCTTCTGTATCAAACTGAGAAGAGGAAATCTATGCCCTGTAACTTCAGATTCCAAAAACTTCCATGTCCCATTGGGTTGTCCTTTCTGACTTAGTACATTTCCCCCTGCTTTTTAGTAGGGTGTTGATGGCTAGAAATACCAAGATAGCAGATTGTATTTTCACTCATTTGGCTGTAAATATTTGGATTTCAAATGAAAAAGTGGAATTTATGAGGAAGATAACATTTAGTACAATTACACAGAGCTGAAGAACAAAACATTTTATGATACGTTTTCCCCAAAATGGAAGCTGGGCAAGAGGAAATGTATTAAAAGTGTGCTTTGCTTGTTTTACTCCATTCCATCAGCAGGTTGTAGGGGTCTGAAGAGGAAGCCTGTTCATGAGCTAAAACTAAGTGTGTTCAGGTGCAGAGGAGCTAGATTGTGCTAGAGGAATCCAAAGCAGAGGGAGTAGGGACTAGAGTCCTACCAGGGTGTGTGCACAGGCTGTTCTTGATAAGCTGTCAGCAGAAGGGAGGCTGCTGTGAATCGACAGGGCCATGGGAAGCCACCCAGGTCCAGTGTTTCTTGTGCTTTTTACTCTTTGGATCACTTCAAGCAAAATCTTATGTCATAAAAACATACAAAAAATTCCACTGGGGATAGGGTGCTGGATAGCATTTTATAGGTAGTGGGTACCTCTGAAATTTGGAGGTAACATAGCCTGATTGGTGTTTCGGAAGATGATCTGGAAACAGAAATGGGAGAGTGGAGGGCAGGCAGAATTGAGAAGACAAAGATTAGGTAAGAAGCTAGCACAGTGGACCAAGCCCCCAGTGTGACCTCTTATCCTCATAGAATTTGGAAGACCATTTCCAATTCTGTAGCCACAGAGTGATGGTTACATAATCAGATAAGATAATGCTATAGGGATAT